AGCGTGGTACCGTGATAGGATGCCACCTGTGCAATAAGTCCATTCATGAAATTTCCTTGCTACTAAATATTCCACGATCAACTGTTAGTGGTATGATAACAAAGTGGAAGCAATTGGGAACAATAGCTACTCAGCCACAAAGTGGTAGGTCATGTAAAATCACAGAGTGGGGACAACGCATGCTGAGGCATTCAGTGCGCAGAAGTCACCAACTCTCTGCAGAGTCAATAGCTACAGACCTCCAAACTTCATGTAGCCTTCAGATTAGCTCAAGAACAGTGCATAGAGAACTTTATGGTATGGGTTTCCGTGGCCAAGCAGCTGCATCCAAGCCTTACATTACCAAGTGCAATGCAAAGTGTTAGATGCAGTGTAGACGTGTTCTCTGGAGTAACAAATCACGCTTCTCTGTCTGGAAATCCAATGGACTAGTCTGGGTTTGGCGGTTGCCAGGAGAATGGTACTTGCCTGACTGCACTGTGCAAAGTTTGGTGGAGGGGGGATTATGGTGTGGGGTTGTTTTTCAGGGGTTGGGGTTGGACCCTTAGTTCCATTGAATGGAACTCTTAATTCTGCAGCATTCAAAGCCATTTTGGACAATTTCATGCTCCCAACTTTGAAGGAACAGTTTGGGGATGGCCCTAAGCTGTCACAAGAGTCTGGTGTGGAGGAACTTGACTGGCCTGCCTGTACAGAGCCCTGACCTCAACCCGACAGAACACTTTCGGGATCAATTAGAGCAGAGACTGTGAGCAAGGCCTTCTCGTCCAACATCAGTGCTTGACCTCACAAATGCTCTCCTGGAAGAATGGTCAAAAATTCCCATAAACACAATCCTAAACCTTATGGACAGCCTTGCCAGAAGAGTTGAAGCTGCTATAGCTGCAAATGGTGAGCCAACTCTATATTAAAGCCTATATTTTAAGAAATTGGATGTCAGTAAAGTTCATGTGTGTGTAAAGCTAGGTGTCCCAATAGTTTTGCCAGTAAAGTGTACGTGTTCTCCAAAATCAGAAAAATATTACATGGTGGCAACATCAGAATCAGCAACAATGGATTTATGGAAGTGACTGTTTTTGAGCTGCACACATCTGTTTTGACTTCAAAACTACATTAGTTCCACCAAACTCCGCATGAAGGAACATAATACATCTTCCAAGGGAAAAAGTGGTTCACAGTTAAAGGCACAATCTATCACATTTGTTCTCAAAATCATCACAGATTAACCATTGGAGTATTGGGGTTCATATTATGAGAAGTTTTTAAAAAAAATCGGATTGCCTAAATCAGGTCTGATGCTATTTTATGATACTAGGGGGGTTTCTAGATGCTATTTATTCTCATTAGCCCAGTGCATTTCTTAAAATAATATACAGAAATGTGCAACATAAAACTCTGATTTATGGTTTTCCCCACATGGAAAAAAAAATAAAAAACCAAACAAAAAGAAAGAGGCCAGAATAGCGAAAGAATGAGTGATTAAATTGTCTTCAGGAAAAATAATTTAGTTTCATTGTCTGGATAACAACACCTTGTGCAGAATGCTACGCTAAAGGAGAATACAGATGTGCTGGTTGTTTCTCATTAAGCTGCCTGCCTTAGAATGAAAGTTGATAGATATCATGTGAAAGTCCTCTGCTAGGGTTTCGCCAAGATAGACTGGAGGTTCATGTGAATATCGATGTGAGTTTTACTGAAGTTTTTTCTTTATTTCTTTGCATATTATGACTGCATTTTAGTTCCTTTTTTTATCTTTTTGTGAATTTTCAGGTTGATTTTCTCATATCTCATTCCGCCTTGCTGTACTATGAATGCTCCTTAGGTCAACTCTAGCTTCTGAATGTTATCCTTTGCATGCTACGGTTCATGCAACGTGGTGACGGATAACCAGTAGCCACTGGCCACTTGCAGGTACCTGTCAGCTCTGTGGGAAGCACTCATGGGGCAGCCTAGGGTGAGAATGCTCAGAAAAATGGCAGACCACAATGATATAACCCGGTTATCTAACTGAGACATATGCAGCAGTGGCTCCTAAAGGAATTCTTGGTGCTGAGCCTTCTGGGTGTCAAGCCAATCATAAAATAACTAGGGAACAAGCTGGAATAAAAGGCATTTATCTCCCAGGGGGGTCAACTAAGTTTTAGTACATTCATGTCTTAAATGCTAAGACCACTGGACACTAGGAAGTTGTATCTTTATAAAGTAAGCTCTGTATATTTACAGAGCTCTGTATCTTAAGCTCTGTATATTTCCTGATGTATATTTACGTACACATATTTAGTCGACACTTTTACCCAACACAAAATACAATTGAGAAAGCAGGACCAACCAGTCCCTGGAGCAATTGGGATTAATGGTCTTTCTCAGAGACCCACTGGTGGGATCACTCTGTCTACCCAGGGATCTGAAGAACGGATGACCTTCCAATCACAGCCAAAAAGGTCCAGCCCACTGACGCACACATCGCCCCGCTATGCATGTAAAGTTCATAAAATTTTGAGTACATCAAGCTACACAGGATGACTGTTTTGAATAAACTGTACACATAACTACTACGAGAGTATATGTTGTCTTTGCCTAACTATTCATTGACAACAAGCCTGATCTAAGACAATGTTTCTTTTTTCAAAGGTAATTGCCATCAAATTGAGGCATTTAAGATTCTGATCCCTCATTGGCTGATAAATAATGATGCTCATGATTGAAACATAGAGTGATTCATTCATCCAGAATCTTGCACTTATCAAGCCCCAACAAAGGACTTACCTTTTTCAATCTAATCTCAGTTCCTTTATTTCCTGTGCAGGTTTTGATACATATGATGGTATCTTCCCCCTATGTCACATCATTGTACTCACAATAATTTAAATTCAAAGAACAATGACATTTTATGAGGTTCACTAAGACTTATTACTCAAAACAAGTATATATATGATATTGATTTCACCACTGCTCCAGTGATACACATACAGCAGCTGTTTTCTCTTTTAAAATTACTATTGACATTTTAAAATACTGAATGAATCATGCTCATGTGTCGTATCCTTATGCAATGTGGCAAAAATCTAATCAATTAAACTGAGATAAATAACTGTGTAAATTTCTAGTGAAATTTACTACATAAAACACCCAACATTAGTGGAATATAAGAGTTTAGGGATAAATATATTCATTTATGTAACATATGGTTGGCAATTAAAGAATGGTCTTGTTCAATCCTGGACAAAATGGTGACATAAAATGTTTGCTGTATATAAGGGAATAAATTAATATGCACAAATCACTTACCTAAATATATGCGTTTATAGCAGTTGTGGCTTAAAGGTTAGGGAAGCGCACTCGGGATTGAAAGATTGCAGGTTCGAATCCCTGACCACCAAGGTACCATCCCCAAGCACTGCTCTCCGGGCACTGAATTAACTGCCCCCTGCTATGTGGCATTGTCACATATGGGTTAAATGCAGAGGACACATTTTGTGTGTTGACAATTAATCTCTAAATATTGGCTATTTTATTATTATATACTATGTGTTTATAATATAATTCTCAGAACCATATGAATTTTAAAAGTTCCAAAAGTTTCAGAGAAATTAAGATGCTGGAAACGCAGAATAATTATATATATATTATATATATATATGTATATGTATGTATGTATGTATGTATGTATGTATATGTGTGTGTGTATATATATATATGTATATGTATGTATGTATGTATGTATATATATATATATGTATGTATGTATGTATGTATATATATATATATATATATATATGTATATGTATATATAGCCTATATATAATTTATTTATTATTATTATTTTTTTTTTCTAAAGTCACAATGTGACAAGAAATTACATTTCAAATTTAGCCGACTCTCAGCGTCACCTCCCCACCAGACAGCTGTAAGAAATGTACTGCTGACCAATAATCCCACTTTTTCTCTGGAAGATTTGTTTGAAAAAGCAAAAGCAAGAACACATTGTGTAGAGTAGACAGCAGAAGAAATTTGTGTGGGCCTAAATAATTATTATAAACTGAGGTTTTCCTTTACAAAATACAAATACAGTATACAATCAGGTTACATTTATGTAGCTTAACTTAATTGTTTGTCTGTGTGCCTTCATCTATCAGGGAGAAGTTGGAGTGAGTTAATAACAGTTATGCCAAGAAACTGTTTACTTTTGTAGTATCTTGAAGGGCTTAAATGTCATTAATGTAACTTTTATCATTGATACTGTATCTTTAGAAACAGGAAACCAAAGGATGTAGCCTAAGTGCAGTCATCAACATTTCTATACCTGACCTCCAGTTTCTAGCAACTTTGATCAGATAAATTTATTTACTAAATATTAACGACTGAATGCAAAATATAGGCTTAAACAAATATAATTAAACAAATTACTATGTTTATAAAATGAAAGAAGGATACAGGATAACCTTCAAGCAGAACATATTTTCCATATCGAATCTAAGTAAATGAATTATATAAATCAGTTCGGGGCATGTTCAGTAACATCTGATCAATGAAATACGGTAACTTTATTTCAAGATAAAGGCGAGTTTTGCAGCGGTCTGAGCGGATTAAGAAAAACTAAACGCTCGCCTGTGAATCATCCATGTCTTAACTGAACGTGTCTCTACTATTTAAAAGTATACACAGAATATAATATTAACATTAATGCAAGCAAAATAATAAAAAGAAATCATTAAGTTTAAAATACAGTACTACATTAAATACTTTCGGTACATATGTTAATGTAAAGTTTTTTTGGATTAAATATTGAAAACAACCACAATTTTACGAAGCACCATAACTTTTTGTCAAGCACTTAACGCTCACCAGAGTTCATAATTCTACTCCTCATAAAGTAATTTTCATCAATTTCGCTTAAAAACATCCAAGTATGGATACCAGTAGCCCGTAGGAAGAAAATTTGTGCAGATATTATTGTAACTCTATTAACTGTAACTTAAGATAAGAATACCTATACCTACCTATTGGGATGCACAGTAGAAGATTGATAAACGGATGCCTCCCGCAATATCCCATGGCTCCTTAATAAGGTTCACGGACTCGGTTTCGGTAGCTTGAAGACCTACTCCTCAGATAAAAGGGCACCTCTGCTCCCTTTCGGTGTTACTCATGGCGTTGCTGATGCTGAGGATCTATCCTTGAACCGAAAAGCTGTCCCTGATCCGCCCTTCTGCTCTCTCTCTCTCTCCCTGCCACTTTATCTATGCACTTGGTCCTAAAGCCTGACTGGCGGCAAATAAGCTTACAGAGACGTTTTGTTCCTATCGGTCCCACGAACAAGTATAGTCTGTTTGTCCTTCGGGGAACAGCATTTCATCCGCAGTTATCGCACTAACGAGGTATTAGAAAAAAAGAATAAATGCATTAAATGATGCAAGACATAAGTATCCAGTGAGGGGAAATAATTGTCGTATAGAGTAAAACAATTGAAAAGTAAGTAGTCTATATGAAAATATGAGTCTCTAAGAATTATTATGGTACTCTTAATAAATAAATAAATAAATAAATAAATAAAATAATATATTATAAAATCGTTATTCTTCATGAAAATAACATAACAAGAGCTATGATTGGTGCTGCACTATGAAATAGTTGCACTACGAATAGTAATGATGCTGTATAAAATATAAATGCTTAAATGTGAAGAAAAAAATGTTTCTTGCTATAGTTCGCATTTTTCTCATTTCATACGTTTTAGCGTCTAAAATTAGGGAACAGGTGTGACAGATGTTCCATTGTGTTGTACATTCATGTTTAGTACATATTAATCCCCTGAGTTTTGCAAAATATGCATTTTTCATCCTTAAAAATCGTAAGGCAAGCATCTATATAAGCATTGCTTTCCCGGCAGCTGGGAACATTTTGTCAATTTCCACTCCTCTCCCGAAACAATATCCACAAATTTGCCATGTATAACACAGAATGTTTTGTGTGTGCAAGACACTCTTCGATAAAACCTTGAATGAGCCTGCTATAGGATTTCTGCTCCGTGTGCCACACGTGTAAGCTTTCCTGACCTAGGAAAAGACTGGACTCCTGAAATTACAAGACACCATGAAGACATTGCTGGTGTCAAATAAATCCTGGCCATGCTTTAAGATAGGAACTTCTGAGAGCTTCTGCAAGCTCTTCAAACAGTTTTCTGGTTTGCCCCATAGTTTATTGAGCAGGGGGTTTGGGGGACATGATAACTTTGAGTGAGTGACACACCTACATTTTGTTAACTGGGAACTGAGGATCCCTGTGATGAATTTTTCAGCCCCACATACCCATGGGCCACCAGGAAAAGACCTGTTCCAGCCATGACTAAACCAGCTTCATGCCAGTGAAGGGATTAGTGACACTGTGCCAGTTTCAGCACCTATCAGATTGCGTTTGTGCCCTGAGAAGAACTGAGATCCCATTCAGGGTGTTTCCTGTAGTATCCGTGTGCTTGCTGGCATAGGCTTACTGTGACCTATACAGCAGAGGGGGTTATGGGAAATGGTCAATCAATCAATTAAGCTGGAATACCAAGAATTCCTGCATCAATATCCTGGGAAATATTTAATAACAAGCAATGGTATTTTGTTAAATAATACACTAAGCTTTTGCATTTCTTACTAAAGTATTTCATGACTCCTACAGACCTGCAGGTTTTAATATCACCCAGAGAGGTTTCAATTAATCTCTGGTTTCTCCTTCTCGTGTTCATAAATGTAAAAATTCTCTGCAAAATTCAAGGTCAGCTGAAGGACAAGAAAAAAAAAACTATGAACAGAGGAGATACAGGCAGTTTATAATGAAACCACAAATAAACTAGAGAATAGTTTATCAGGTGATTAGCGGTTGTTATAATGATGTACTGTAAATATTTGTGTGAATACTACAAACTCAACAAATACAGTTTATTTCAACTAGTAACATTAATCTAGAAGTCTGGCAGTTTACCACCAGGTAAAGGTGATTTTTTTCAAAAAAATTACATCTGCGCTACTGCCCCCCAAAGAAAACAAATTTTACATGAAAAAATGAGAGGAGCAATGTTTGTTGTTAGTGAAATGAATCACTCTCAACCCGATTCTTGGACAAATTAGAGTGATCGTTATAAAACTGTAGTAAGCCTAACATTGCACATTTCTTCCTTTCATGACTTTGGTCAAGCTCAGTTTCTAAAGAACTTTACATCGTAAATATGAGGGGAAAAAAAGCATCTGCTAAATAAATAAATGACTTTATAAATGATGAGCGAGTGTCGCAACTCGGCATGTTGTAGGCGGAAAATGAGTGACGAGCCACGGGACGCCTCCGAGACAAAAGGGTTTTATTAACAAAATAGAACAAACCAGGGAAAACCATAAAATACAACAACAAACAGGGAAAAATAAGAATCAACTAAAGAAACTACAAAGTAACACAACTAGGGAAGTGGGCTAAACAGGGAGTACGACTAGGAAACCAAGCAGAGCTTAAAACACACAGTAACATGGCACACAGACATGCACGATGAAATAACACAGCTGGGCAAGCACTTAAATACACACAGAGCCGGGCTAACGAGGGGGCAGGAGGGAAACATGAGCAGGACAACCAATCAACAAAGACACAGCGCAACAAGAAGCAGGTGGAGCTAATTAACAATAAGGAGCGCAGAACTAGGAAGCTTAACAGATATTAAACTAGGAGACATTAACCAGACACTAGGAATACGATGCAAAGATAATTAACATGAAGTAAAAGGTACAAAACAAATCCAGAAGAGAACACAAGGATGGTAAACCTAGGACAAGAAAACTAAGACAGAAAACAACAAACACTGGGGAACAGAAAACCAATAACTACTTGGAAACTTATGAGGCTGATCTTTAGCCAGCCTTCATGGAAGGTGTTACCAGGGGGGCTGCAGTCGCTAAGCCACACGCTCAACCCATTGAGCTATGTGACAGTCCCACGAGCAGAGAAAACACACAGATGTTTAAGGGCTATATGAAAGTGAGGGGGGGAAGCAGAATGACCAGCAATTCCTGCTGGCCAAACAGGGAAAAGTCACAGAGGATGAGGTCAGACGGCACTGACTCTAACAGTGGTAACACTTTCTATGAATGTCATTATAATGCATTCATAAAGCATTATAAACATGAGTATAAATATTTATAAAAAGGCATAACACATTATAGCCATGTTTATTATGCATTATGAAGGCTTTATGAAGCTTTCATCTATAACGCCCTATAGATACCTTTATAATGCAGAACAAAGTATCCTTAATCTTTTACCGACCATTACAATGCATTATGAAGCATGTTTAGTGCAGTATTGATGGCAGCTTTATTAGAGTTTGTGAAGTATTATATTCAACACTATAATGCCTTCTGATTGTCAATAGATGATGTTGTAATGCTTTATTAATTCTTATACCGAACCTTATAATGAATTATGAAGGTATCTATAGTGAATTATAGATGAGAGCTTTAAGTAAAGCGTCACCAACATTTTTTAAGTGATAAAAATACATTTATTACTTGTACTAAATATTTATTAAATAAGATATCGTAGATGTGTAATTATTCATTCAATGCATGTTTGAAAAAACCCAAAATATTTTGTCTGGTATTGTGTGGATTCTGGTGTCTGGGAGAAAATTTAGATTAACCAGAAATTAGTGTTACATGATTAGTAATTAGGTGCAGGTAAACTGAATGAATGGGCTGGTCACCTGGCCTGTTTTGCATTTAGAGCCTGAAATGTTACAGCTGTCCAGGAAAATGTAAACGTGCCTGTCATGAGTTTCGGAGCCTATGAGGCTTTAAATGAATTATTGTCCTGGTAATGTCTAACCACCAGCCCCTTTATGTAAACCCATGAAAGGCAATGAGCTTCTAGCAGTGGTGAGGAGGGTGTTTCCCGCAGCATATTACTTTAAGTCACTTGGTTCAAGATTCTGTATGTGCAAGATTTGGATTTAAAAACACACACACACATTGTGTTGTGTTGTTCGTGTCATGTCTACCACAGCTTCCACATCCACAACTGAAAGTCCGGACTTAAGGTTTTTGTTCATGAACAAACATTCTGTCTTTGTCAATCTGTCAAAGTTAAAAAAAATTTTGAAAATATACCCATGTATATTGTATTTTAATGACTATATGTTTTAGCATAATATGCCACATGCATTCATTATGCTTTAACACCATACTTACAAAGTTGACCCTTAGCAACTCAAGTCAATACTTGCAGCTTCAGCAAGCTAATGGTGCCATTTGTGATGGAACTTCTCAGGCAAAAGTCGCTAAGCTAACACAGCTCACTGCAGATCTACAGCTTTACAGTGTTAGGATGAGAAACATCACCCAGCACACTGCTATCACCAGCATTCTGCAAGCTGAAGGTCTGTGTCTACCACAGTACACACACATACCGCTTTAGGTCAATTGCCCCTACATCACAAAGATAGAAAAAACAATAATGTCCTTAGGGATCATTCCAGAAGATCCGTGGAGCCAGTCTGGGGTTCAGTTAAAGCATAGAAGCGACCCTTTTGTGACTGCACACATCTCTCAGGATGACCAGAAATTAAATCAACAAATTTAATTATGCCAACGTCACTGCTTTAATGCAGTATAAGAATTTATCCCTTGTTTCAGGGCTTGTTAAGTGATACATTTTTCCCCCCCATGGGGTTTTGCTCAGTCAATGTAGGGGGAGGATTACACTACAAGGGAAGAGCCTTTCAATAACTCAGCACACGACTCTCGCCTCCAGGCCTAGCCTCCTTAATTAGAGCATTGTGATGTGTCTGAGGACTATAGACAGTAGGCGAGTTATCTGTCGGTATTGTGTGCAAGCGTCATGCATGCTTTTGAGTATCGTCAGTGCAGCAGTTGGCACTGCTAACTGATCATGCCATTCAGTGTAGCTGCTGCTTTTGATGAACATTGCCATTTGAAATCTAATCCATGGCAACCCTCAACTGTAGTGTGAGGAACACAGATGCTTGTGTTGACGTCCAGTCCCAGGTTTGCCATTTCACTACTGGGGCACAGCAGAAGCCGTGTGAGCAGTAGTGCTCACACCTTGTGCACGCATACAGTAAAGGCAATCCCCAGGTTCCTAAGTCCGTCTTAAAATCAAATTTATACGTAAGTGGGAAAAACAATAATAATACAGTAGATAATAATGATGTTACGTCCTGCTGGCCATGTCTGCCAGACCCTCCGTCTCCACCCTGACGTGACCCAGATGAGCCGTGCTTGTTGCTTGTTGCCCCCCGTTAGTTTTTGTATTTAA